GCCCTGATGAACTTTTTTCAAGGGTTCTTAGAGTGTAAAATGGAACTTTGTGAACCATTGACTGATATTTTTAATATTTCTCTTCAAACAGGTGTAGTGTCTGATATGTGGAAGATGGCTAATGTAATTCCTATTTTTAAAGCAGGGGACAAGTCGTAGTTACCGTCAAATTACCGCCCAATAAGCCTAACCTCAATTGTAGGCAAATTACTAGTCAATTATAGCTGATAATATAAGAAACCATCTCGATAAGCACAGCTTGATTAATGATACTCAGCATGGATTCACGAGGGGCCATTCCTGCCTAACTAATTTATTAACCTTCTTCAGTAAAGCTTTTGAGGCCGTTGATCATGGTAAAGAATTTGATATTGTTTATTTAGATTTTAGTAAGGCTTTTGATAGAGTACTGCACCAGAGACTGTTAAAAAAAGTGGCAGCTCATGGCATTGGGGGAAAAGTGCTCTCATGGATCGAGTCATGGCTCACTAATAGGAAGCAGAGAGTATGCTTAAATGGGGTTAAATCCGAGTGGGGATCTGAAACAAGTGGCGTACCACAGGGATCAGTCTTAGGCCCGTTGTTGTTTATAATATATATCAGTGACCTTGATGAGGGTATTACTAGTGATATGACCAAATTTGCCGATGACACAAAGATAGGTAGGATGATTGATTCAAATGTGGATGTTAGGGAACTTCAGGACGACCCCTACCCCGCCTTCCTTCCCCTATAGATTTGAATGCTCTCCATGTCATTCTACTTTGATCCATTCTCTCTAAATGATCAAACCACCTCCAAATTTTCTGCACAATATTTACACCACACATTGCCCTTAGACAGGACATCTCCACTGCCTCCAACCGCCTCCTCCGCTGCTGCATTCACAACCCAAGCTCTTCACACCCATATAAGAGTGTTGGTACTACTATACTTTCATACATTCCCTTCTTTGCCTCCATAATGTTTTTTTTGTCTCCACATATACCTCAACGCACCACTCACGTTTTTTCCCTCGTCAATTCTATGATTAACCTCATCCTTCATATTCATAAGTCCATCCGCCGACACGTCAACTCCCAAGTATCTGAAAACATTCACTTCTTCCATATTATATATTCTTATATAATTTTAAAATTGGTCTCTCCAAAGAGCCTTTGTTGTCCAGTCAAAATAGATGAGTGTGTTTTAGATTCATGACTAAAAGAAAGGTATCTAAAGATTACCTGGCATGATATCCTCCCTTGTTTAAGTTTGACATATAAGTATGTATGTACTGGTATACTGTCTTAAACTGCAGTTTATAAGAACACTTTTAAAAGGAGCAATGTTCATATTCAAGTTTGGTAAAACAAAGCACTAAATTTTAAATGGTTTAGGTTTGTCACTTATGAGAACATAATGTTCAGTACATATAACATTGAACTCCTAATCCCACTCGAGAGTTCTCAAGGAAGGTTCCTTGCTGCTAGTGAGGGGCTCTTTAAGCCTTAAACTATCCAAATGCAGATCGATGTTCGTGCGCGTAGCGCTCCGAACATAATCTAAATTTTTTCACAATGCATGTAAAAATGGATGTAGATCTACATTTGGACAGTTTAAGGGTTAAGTAAATGATTACAGAAGGGCCCTGCTTATACAGCAGGTTAGATTCTGGGCCACCACTAAGTGAAACAGCCATTTTTTTCACCTTTAAATGCATATAAAACCCTGATGTGTTAGTTTAATCATATATTAAGTCAGCAATAGAGCTAGGCCTAACAACTGCATATACAGTGCACACATTAGTCACCTTAAAGTATTGTCATACATAGCTAATAGTGAGTGGTGAATAGGTAGGTAGCCTGATTATTATTATTATAATCAAAAAGAAGCGCTAAGCCACAAGGGCTATACAGCAGGTAGCCTGAATATTAAAGACCGGGTATAATTTTAAACTGCTGCATTAGCGAAGCATTCCTGTTGTTATAATCATAACTAAATGCTAAACCCATAAGGGTCATGCAGTGCTGCTTTAAGTAATTAAACCTTTGTTCCAATTCCCTGAATCGAGCCTGAATGCCTTCTATACCCCCAGGTGCTGTATGACCCCTATGGGTGTAGTGCACCCTCCATGATTTCAATAGTCCCCTAAGAGAGGTTCTTTGATGCTGGCAAGGAGTTCTTGATGAGCAAGACATGTGCAACAATTGGATATCTTTGTTGAAATGTTTGCCTACTCGGCAGATATTTCACCTGTAGAACAGGCTTCTTCAATTATACCCTTCAAGGGAGGTTCCCTGATGCTGGTGAGGGACTTTGCTCTGCTCCAGTTTCCTGAATTGAGCCTGAATACCTTCCAACCCACCCACCCCTCCCACGCACTGGATAATCCTACGGGTTTAGCACTCCCCCACGATTATAATCATTCTTCAATTATAATATGCAGGATGCACAAACAAATTTATACAAGAGCAGTCAGGTGAGTGGCTAGGTCAATGTGGTCACTACATCAGTGAACTAGTATGTGACAAAGAACTGGAAGGGCTCCTAAGACCAGCTGGGTGTCCTTCCAAGACATCAAGTGTGCACCCTGATCAATATTCAATCATCACACATATATGCAAGACTATTTTGGGTAGTGCTTAGCTAATAATAATAATTATTATTGTATCATGCATGAATTATTCATGTGATTCCTGCAAACATGCTGGTGTTCACACAACCAGATCTGTAAGCTACAGGAGATCTCTTCCCTAGCCACATGGAATGATGTAAATATTTAACTGAATTGTTGTGTTCCTGGAGTTTTTTTTCCTGGTCAAGTCCTTGATGTTAGCGAGGGTTTGTGTAATATATCCTGTAGGAAAGAATCATCCGTCTGTGCTATTCTCTGGTTTTAGTGAAGTGAAAATTTTGTATGCACGATCTCTACAGTCCTGGATGGTGTGTGGGCGCTGAAAATTTTAGTCCAGATGATGTCTCTTATGAATGTTGCACTCTTCCCCCAGAAAGTCTGGGCTATAGATCCTGTAAGCATGTAAAACATGCCAGCAAAGGCATCGTCATTCCTACAGGCCACATCACAGTATATATTACACACATCCTTGCCAACAACAACATGGGTATTGCCACTATCATGTCCAAACCATCAAAGACATGACCAAGCATATACAGGTGTGTGCATAATCCCATGTAGCAAGTGTAACCAGAAATACATGGGGAGACCTCTCATAGTTTACCAATCAGGGTGAAAGAATGCCTAAAGAACTTGCATGAAAAATGTAATGGAAGGATGCCCAGCTGGTCATAGAGGAAATGGACAAAATGACACGGATGCCTGGCTGTGCTAATCTGTACACAAAATACCCTTCCAGCCTTTTTCTTCTCTCACCTCTGATCCCCTCTCCACCTAGCTGTTTATAGCCTCAGCAGCATTTTCTGCCCCACAGTGCTGTATGACCCTTGTCAGTTCAGCACTTTCTTTGATTATAATAATAATGTACACAAAATACAGTTCAACAGAATCAAAGGAGCTTTCAATTTAGCCAAACCTGTAGTCTAACTCATCTTATGCAAGTAGGTCATTGGAAGAACTAGTAGGTCATTTGCAGTGTGCCTATCTTCCAATTCACCTGCACTGTGACCTCACTGACCTGGACACTTGCCTGACTATGCTTGCATTATTATTATTATTATAATCAAAGGGGAAGCGCTAAACCCGGAAGATTATACAGCGCCTGGGGGGAGGATGTGGAAGGCATTCAGGCTTAATTTGGGGAACTGGAGCACAGATCTATGCTTGCATAAATCTGTTTGTTGTACATCCCTGTGTACTGACAGAAAAAGCTTCTTCCACAGGCAAAACGTCTCAATAAATCTCCTTTCTGCACTTGTCTTTTCACCACTTTTTGGCTTTGTGCCATTGTTTCCAATAGTCCTAATAACTAAAAGCAGCCTGAAAAATCCAAACTTGTCATGCTATAAAAATTACTGGACTCCTCAAGGTGCCTTCATGTCAGTAAGAGGCTATTTATCTGAGGAACTACACCTACCCTGCCTTAGATCAAACCTGAATGCCTTCAGTTCCTAGGCACTGTATAACCTATATGGGTTCAGTGCTTCTCCTTGGTTAAAATAAAATTCTTTGGGAAATGTCACTTATGTTACTATTATATTAATAGAAAAAGGCTTATCTTGTCAAGTTTAATGCCTAGTTTAGCACTACCCATGATAATAATTAGTGCCTAGTTTTAATTGTAACAATAATTAACTTGTAAGGTCAAACAGTCTGGGGAATTTGAGGTATTCAGTTTTGAGCCAAGGAAGGAGAGGGTACCTCCAATTCCTTGGATCAAGAGCCCTTGAGCATCAAGGCACTTTTGATACAAGTTATTGTACCTATTTTCCCTTGAATCAAACTTGACTGACTATTCTCAGATGCTGTATGACCCATTTGAGTTCAGCATTTCCCCATTAATATATGCAAAATGACAATTCACTGTTTAAGAAGTATGAAGTGTATAGCCTCCTGAAGTAAAAGTCCAGCTATATTATTATAATGATTGGGATGTACTAATCTCATGAAGGTCAGTGTGTCCATAATAGTGATTTTTTGCCAAAGACATGAATGCTTTAATATCTAAGGTCCCCTCAAGGGAGGTTCCTTGACGCTGGCGAGGGGCTTATGATCTAAGGAATTTGATCTGTGCTCCGGTTCCCTGAATTGAGCCTGAATACCTTCCATCCCTCCCCCACAGGTGCTGTATAATCCTATGGGTTTAGTGCTCCCCATGATTATAATAATTTAATGTCTAAAACTATGCCCTTATAATTAAAAAATAAGCTGGAAAACTTAGATAGGCATTTGATAAAAATAAATACATGTATTTCCAACATCTGATGTAACATGACTTATAATCACAGGCAAATGATAAACCCATTAGTCATACAGCATCTGGGAAATGGAAGGTAATCAGATTTGGTCCTGAGAACACAACAATAATAATAATAATAACGAAGTACTAACTAATTTTAAGATTACCTTCACTTAACAGTTAAATACAATTAATTCTCAACCATACTTTAAAAGTGTTAAAAGATATGCTAAAAAAAAAAAAATGAACAGCACATAAAGATGAATTATTCTACATCATTATTGTCCAAGAACAACCTCATGATTTTTGGACTCATGTCTTCAAATTCTTCCTCACACACACCTTTTATGGTAGGGATGATGTCTTCCTCTGACAGGTTGTTCCAATGATCACATGCTAAAGAAAATATTAAGTTTATTAGTGTAATGATCACAAGTTACGACATGTCAAAATACTGTTTGATTAAGTTCTCCAATATACAGTATCCTTAATCTAGAACATGTATCTAAATCAACCTGATGGACAAAAACTCAAGCAAAAATTCTTCCTTTGGGCACATACAAGTAGACCAACAGCACTGTGTGACCCTGGTGGGTTCAGCTCTTAGTTTTGATTGTAATAACAATTAGGGCAATATACTCTAGGTATGTGCCATGGGGAAGTGGAAAAGAATTCTTCCGTATGCCATGCTTGTCATAAGAGACAACTAAAACGTCAGGAGTAAGGGGCAAGTAACCCCTTCTGTATAAATTACTAAATTTAAAACAAAACATTTTTGTTTTTTTAAGTCACCCTGCCTCGGTGGGATACAGCCAGTTCATTGAAAAAAGAAAAGTGCACATTTCATGATATTGTATAGTTAACAGTATAGTAGTACAGGCTGACCTCTAATCCAAAACTTGAACCACTAAAAACATAACCAAAACATTTTTGTAAATTATAAACATGCACCTGGCCAGTGCTGTAGCCTCAGACTACTGTTAGTGTACATGTGCTAACCCCTCAGAATTTTTCCTTGGTAAAATATAGCTGAAGGTGATGTCTGACAAAATATAAAATGATCTGTAGTGGTTATACATTTTACATCCAATTAAAAGATAGCACCAAATTTGAACAACAGAATCTGCAGAGGCAACTCAACTTACTTTCCTATGCCTATGTGCATTTGCAATACTCAAAATTCAACCCCAGAAATAAATGACATTACCTTTCCTGTGCTATTATAGTTTACCCATATAGTAATACTTTTCATAAAGCATAATTTCCTTACACAAGTCTTGTAACATGATTACATTAAATTTCTCTGAAACACTATTTTAGATCAGCATAGTTTGGTTTGTGTGTGTATAGGTCAACTACAAAAATGATCTTGGAACAATAATCTGCAATACTTACAGTATATAGGTACATGTCCAGCAAGTTCACAAACTGCTGTAGCAAACACAGAAATGTCTTTAATACCTGAAAAATAGAAATATTATAAATATATCAGTATATTCCAGAAGCTGCTGCTACAAAACCAAATTATTTTGGCTGAGCAAGATACACACATGTACACATAAAATATTACTTTAGAGTTTACTGTCCATACAATTCAACATTAATTTATTTGATCTGAAATTGTCAAAACCTATTAACTGTGATAAAGGCATTTAAAAAATTAAAACATTAAAATAACACGTATAAGAAGTGTTTAAAATGTAATAGCCCCCATTTTTATAATAAAAAAAATAAAAAACTATTCTGAGCTATATTCTGGGATCCTGGTCAGCACAGATTAATCCAGGAAAGAAAAAGAATGCACTGGGAAGAATTTATATGATATTAAGGTCAGCGTTTTTATAAGACTTGAACCACTGTAGCAACAGTGTTTCGGTTACCTCAATGGCTGACTTTTTTTTTTTTTCAACAAACCGGCCGTATCCCACCAAGGCAGGGTGGCCCAAAAAGAAAAACGAAAGCTTCTCTTTTTAAATTTAGTAATTTATACAAGAGAAGGGGTTACTAGCCCCTTGCCCCCAGTATTTTAGTCACCTCTTACAACACGCATGGCTTACGGAGGAAGAATTCTGTTCCACTTCCCCATGGAGATAAGAGAATATAAACAAGAACTAGAAAGAAAATAGCAGAAAACCCAGAGGGGTGTGTGTGTGTGTGTGTGTGTGTGTGTGTGTGTGTGTGTGTGTGTGTGTGTGTGTGTGTGTGTGTGTGTGTGTGTGTGTGTGTGTGTGTGTATATATATATATATATATATATATATATATATATATATATATATATATTTCTTTCAACAAACCGGCCGTATCCCACCGAGGCGGGGTGGCCCAAAAGGAAAAACGAAAGTTTCTCCTTCTACATTTAGTAATTTATACAGGAGAAGGGGTTACTAGCCCCTTGCTCCCGGCATTTTAGTCGCCTCTTACAACATGCATGGCTTACGGAGGAAGAATTCTGTTCCACTTCCCCATGGAGGTAAGAGGAAATAAACAAGAACAAGAACTAGAAAGTAAATAGAAGAAAACCCAAAGGGGTGTGTATATATATGCTTGTACATGTATGTGTAGTGTGACCTAAGTGTAAGTAGAAGTAGCAAGACGTACCTGAAATCTTGCATGTTTATGAGACAGAAAAAAGGACACCAGCAATCCTACCATCATGTAAAACATTTACAGGACGGTAGTACCTCCCTGGGCAGTTGCTGTTTACCAACCTAGTACCTAGGATAACAATGGCTGACTATTTTCAGCATAAATAGCAAGCGGATTTCCCCTTTCCTTAAATTTTAATGCGACTTGTAACTTGACTGTGATTGAATCATAGATATTGTATGGACTGTGACAATGAACTTAAAATAGCTCTGAGTACATTATATTGTGATTATGAGATGTGTGATACGACAAATAATTTAGTTGTGATGTTAGTAAATCAGTAATGATAGCAGCAGGGATATTTTGTGGAGGGATTCAGGGAAACCGGTTAACCGGACTTGAGTCTTGGAGGTGGAATGTACAATGCCTGCACTATAAAGGAGGAGTCTGGGATATTAGCTTTTTGGAGTGACATCTACACTGTCATATCAGGGTACCTCTGCAAAGACAGTGATTATGTGTGAATGATGGTGAAAGTGTTTCTTTCTTTTTTCGGTCATCCTGCTTTGGTGGGAGACAGCTGACGTGTTGAAAAAAAAAAAAACCAGCAAATTGTTAAGATAGCTGAAAATTAGTAATAACAATGCATTAATAATGTCGTTAGCAGCTTTATGTTTTAGTGTTATGTGCTTTGTGAATCATGCAACTTACTAATACACATGGATTTGTTCACATTTTAAAATAGTCTCTCCTCACTTAGCGACATACTCGTTTACTGACGACTCGGACTTACGATGGGCTCTCTGACTAGTATGCATACCTAAATAATATATATTAGAGATTTTTGTAAGTGCTTTTGTATGTGTATTTTTGGGGGTCTGAAACGGACTAATCTAATTCACAATATTCCTTATGGGAACAAATTCGGTCGGTAACGGCACCCGAACAGACTTCTGGAATGAAATAATATTGTAAGGCAGGGGTCGACTGTATACCAGAAATGTTATAAATGGTGCAAAGGTGACATTAAAACAATACCAGAGATGGTTGACACAAACCCATTATAGTATGCTCCTCAGTTAGCAACGAACTCATTTACTGACGTGGTCTTAGGAACGGAACTACGTCGTTAAGTGAGGAGAGGCTGACAGTACAGCACTTTATCTTCACAATATCATTTTCCCCATTTAATCCTTCACAGTCTATGCATGAATAATGCTCAAATTTGATTCAGAAACCCTCTAGACTTGAAGCATATTAAATACTGTACCTATAGTTAACTAACCATAGGAAGGTTTGCGTGCCCAGAGAATGACTCTTACGGTGTCATATTCTCCATCAGTGGAGTTGCCGTCCAGAGACGTCCCACGAGTAATGTAAAGATTGTGAGCTATCTCTTTACTGAGGAACAGCTTTATAACTTTCATTACAGATCTGTTGGGAGGAGCTAAATGATAACAAATGCAAAATAATAAATCTCTTTTAAGAGGAAGGAAAGAGAGTACATTCACTGAAGTTCATTCCTTTGCACATTCACACTAAGTACATACTATTGGATGGTCTGTTACATTTTTTCATATTCCTTTCAATGGCCTTGATACTGGTGAAGAACTGTTGATATAAGGAATTTAGATTATTGTCAACTGGATCAAACCTGATTACTTCCTATTTTCCTTAAACTTATAACCTGCTTGCATTTAGCATTTTCTTGTGAATAACATAATAATGACTTCTACAGGTTTAGCACTTACCCATAATAATAAAAATAAAATTGCTAGCTATTTTAAATAGCACTGCAGGTTTGATCTGGACATTCAATAATATATAAAATAAGTTAAATTTGTTGGTCACACAATGAGCTGATATGATATAAATAATGGTATTTTCCAGTGGTTATATTTAGTACAGTATTGTATAAACAATCATTAGAAGAATTTCAGATTTTGAATTTCATATTCAAATTTCATTTAAAATTTTTGTTTGGTTGTAAGGTTTGAATAACATGAGCACAAAAATAAAAATTAGTAAGATGTTCAAATTGTAAAGGATTTTTAAATTACTTTATTGGGCTGTAAAAAAATTTAAATTTACTTTACAGTATCACAAATAGCAAGACTACAGAACTTATGAGAAACCAAATGGTACTACAGTTAAGGTGAATGGGAGAGTGATAAACTTGTGAACACAATAAAGGAAATGATAGGAAAAACTGCAGGTGTTTGAGGTAAAACAGAATTAATAAAGCAAGTTTTTATTGGACAATGTTTTGCTGAAGTGTGACCTTAATCGAGTCATCGAGAAGACTACAACACCTGCTTATAAACTCCACAACAGTAGGCAAGGTGTAAGAAAATGTGGGAGTGACAGTACATGGGGTGGGCTTAACATCATTAGGTGAGATTTCATGTCATGTTCATACGAATGTGTTGCGCAAGAGGTGTAATGCTAATGAGAGCACCAACTTTTTCAATAATATTTTGTTTTTAGACATCTTTTCCATATTTTTTTCTAAACCCTTTCTTTGTCTCCCACATATAGACCTGTCTCAGTGGGAGACGACCGACTTGTTGAAAAAAAAAAAAAAATTCAGGCCTGTGGTTCTAACATATGTATTTTTTTAAACACACTGACCACCACCCACCATGGTAGGGTGACCCATAAAAGAGGAAAATTTTTCTTCTTTTTACATTTAGTAATTACATAAGGGGTTACCAGACCCTTGCTCCCAACATTTTAGTCGCCTCTTACAACACACAAGGCTTATGGAGGAAGGTTTCTTCACTTTCCCATGGAAATTTACAGAGATATTATGTGTGAGTGTGTTAGATAGGAGTGAATGGAGACAAATGGTTTTTGGGACCTGACAAGCTGTTGGAGTGCGAGTAGGGTAATATTTTGTGAAGGGATTTGAGGAAACCGGTTACCTGGACTTGAGTCCTGGAGGTGGGAAGTACAATGCCTGCACTTTAAAGGAGGGAGATTTGGGATATTGGGTGTTTGGAGTGACATCTAAACTGTCATATCTGAGCTCAGTATAATATCTATATTATGCACCCCATACTCATCCTGTGGGCGGCATATCTGAGCGCCTCTGTAAAGACAGTGATTATGTGTGAATGATGGTGAAAGTGTTGAATGATGGTGAAAATGCTGAATGATGGTGAAAGTGTTTGTTTCTTTTTTGGGCCACCCTGTCTCTGTGGGAGATAGCCAATGTGTTAAAAAAAAAAAAAAAGCACGTGTTAATCATATTGCCCTCAAATATGGGTGTGTGTGGTGGGTGTGTACAGTAGAAAACCAACCCTCCCCCACACAATGAATTATGGAAAATGCTTTCCTCTGACCTTGTGTTTGGGTTAAAACAAACTTTGAGGTGTTTTCTAAAGTGGTTTTTCATGGTTTTATTGGCTATTTCTTGGATCCACCTGATAGATTGCAAGGCATACTAGTGAAAAAGCATCAATGAATGGGTCATTTTATGACAAAAAACTGCGTTGGGTGATTTTCTCCTCACAGATAAACCAATATTTAACATCCTTTGTAGGACATGATTAAGCTCACACTTCAGTATAGTGTCCAATAAAAACTCACCCTATTAAGCATCTTTGTTTAATCTCAACATGGTTATTGAGAAGAATAATGTAAAAAAAAAAAAAAAAATCATAGATATTATAACAACATATGTACTATTACCTGATCAGCTCATCAACATCTTTATTTTCAAGCTGAAAAACAAAAGCTGGACATGGGAAGTCCTTGAAGACATAACAAGGCCCAGCTAGTCTCCGACATTCCTGTAATTACAAGAAGAAAGTAATCATTATACAATAAGCTGACAGCCACACTTGAATTTTATTAAATAAAAAACATAAAAATAAAGGAGAGGAGAGTATGGGATGGACAGAAAGTGTTGAGGGAAGGGATAATGAAAGTTTCAAAGGGAGGAAGGGGAGGGGAGAATTTAGTAGAAGGGTTACCGCACATGATGTGGTTGGTACTAAGTACAGCATAAGGGATTAGGGAACCTATCAATAAGAGTAACACTTATTTGGGACTCTAGAGTAGTCTTAGCTTGGGCAGTTGCTATGGAGAAACTATGAATTAATTAACAGGATTGCAGTGCTAAGTGACTCATATGGTTTAACATTTTTTTGTGAATACTGCATAGTAATCCTATGAACAACAACGATAGTCGAAAATGAAGAGGTACAGTTTTCAAAGGGTTTTATTGGTTTCTTTTTGGTGTTTTGACTGATCCTAGGATCTAAGACATTACTTAGTGCTTTTAATGATTTCTTTTATTCCTTTGAATCTATTTTAAATATTAATTTTGGACATTTCAATCATACTTTTGTGCAGAATCCCTTTGTTAATTTTTTCAAGATTAAGCATACAATGCACTTTTCATAGCCAAGAATCCCTCAAAGGAGGTTCCTTGATGCTGGTGAGGAGCTCTTGATTTATGGAATTGGATCTGTGCTCCAATTCCGTCAATTAAGCATGAATGCCTTCCATCCCCCCACAAGTGCTGTATAATCCCTACAGGTTTAGTGCTCCGCAGGATGATGATGATGATGATGATGATGATGATGATGATGATGATGATGATGATGATGATGATGATGATGTTGATGATGATGATGATGATGATGATGATGATGATGATGATGATGATGTGATGATGATGATGATGATGATGATGATGATGTTGATGATGATGATGATGATGATGTGATGATGATGATGATGATGATGATGATGATGATGATGATGATGATGATGATGATGATGATGATGATGTTGATGATGATGATGATGATGATGATGATGAGATGATGATGTGATGATGATGTGATGATGATGATGATGATGATGATGATGATGATGATGATGATGATGATGATGATGATGATGATGATGATGATGATGATGATGATATAGGTAGTAGGTTGGTAGACAGCAACCACCCAGGGAGGTACTACTGTCCTGCCAAGTGACTGTAAAATGAAAGCCTGTAATTGTTTTACATGATGGTAGGATTGCTGGTGTCTTTTGTCTGTCTCATATATATGCAAGGTTACAGGTTTGTTGAAAAAAAAAATTACAGGTACGTCTTGCTACTTCTACTTACACTTAGGTCACGAGGGAGCATTCACCAAATTCAACTTCAATAACAAAAACATAAAGTGGGACCAAGTAAACCAAGTCCTAACCGATATAAGCTGGGAAGATATACTAAGCAACACAGACCCAAACTTATGCCTAGAACAGATTAACTCGGTGGCACTCGATGTATGCACAAGGCTTATTCCTCTAAGAAAAAGGAGGAGTAGATGTAAAATAGAAAGAGACAGGCGCTCCCTTTCGGCGCGGAAAAGAATAACAGAGCGGCTAAAGAGGTCAATATATTTAAAATGGCAGGGAGACACTGGTCAGAGAAATAGCAAGCATCGAACTTAAGCTAAAAGAATCCTTTAGGAGTCAGGAATCGCGGGAAAGAACTAAAAGCCCTAAAAGAAATCGAAAGAAACCCAAAGTATTTCTTCTTTCCCATGCCAAATCAAAATCGAGAACAACGTCCAGTATTGGGCCCTACTTAAACAAGATGGGTCCTTTCACAGATGACAGCAAGGAAATGAGTGAGCTACTCAGTCCCAATATGACTCAGTTTTTTTAGCAAGCCCCTAACCAGACTGAGAGTCGAAGATCAAAATGAATTTTTTATGAGAGAGCCACAAAATTTGATTAACACAGCCCATCCGATGTTTCCTGACGCCAAATGACTTCGAACAGGCGATAAATGGACATGCCCATGCACTCTGCCCAGGGGCCAGACTCATGGAACTCTGTGTTCATCAAGAACTGCAAGAAGCCCCTATCACGAGCCTTTTCCATCCTATGGAGAGGGAGCATGGACACGGGGGTCGTCCCTCAGTTACTAAAAACAACAGACATAGCCCCACTCCACAAAGGGGGCAGTAAAGCAACAGCAAAGAACTACAGACCAATAGCACTAACATCCCATATCAAAAAAAATCTTTGAAAGGGTCCTAAGAAGCAAGATCACCACCCATCTAGAAAACCCATCAGTTACACAACCCAGGGCACATGGGTTTAGAACAGGTCGCTCCTGTCTGTCTCAACTACTGGATCACTACGACAAGGTCCTAAATGCACTAGAAGACAAAAAGAATGCAGATGTAATATATACAGACTTTGCAAAAGCCTTCGACAAGTGTGACCATGGCGTAATAGCGCACAAAATGCGCGCTAAAGGAATAACAGGAAAAGTTGGTCGATGGATCTATAATTTCCTCACTAACAGAACACAGAGAGTAGTCGTCAACAGAGTAAAGTCCGAGGCAGCTACGGTGAAAAGCTCTGTTCCACAAGGCACAGTACTAGCTCCCATCTTGTTCCTCATCCTCATATCCGACATAGACAAGGATGTCAGCCACAGCACCGTGTCTTCCTTTGCAGATGACACCCGAATCTGCATGACAGTGTCTTCCATTGCAGACACTGCAAGGCTCCAGGCGGACATCAACCAAATCTTTCAGTGGGCTGCAGAAAACAATATGAAGTTCAACGATGAGAAATTTCAATTACTCAGATATGGTAAAACATGAGGAAATTAAATCTTCATCAGAGTACAAAACAAATTCTGGCCACAAAATAGAGCGAAACACCAACGTCAAAGACCTGGGAGTGATTATGTCGGAGGATCTCACCTTCAAGGACCATAACATTGTATCAATCGCATCTGCTAGAAAAATGACAGGATGGATAATGAGAACCTTCAAAAACTAGGGAGGCCAAGCCCATGATGACACTCTTCAGGTCACTTGTTCTATCTAGGCTGGAATATTGCTGCACTCTAACAGCACCTTTCAAGGCAGGTGAAATTGCCGACCTAGAAAATGTACAGAGAACTTTCACGGCGCGCATAACGGAGATAAAACACCTCAATTACTGGGAGCGCTTGAGGTTTCTAAACCTGTATTCCCTGGAACGCAGGAGGGAGAGATACATGATTATATACACCTGGAAAATCCTAGAGGGACTAGTACCGAACTTGCACACGAAAATCACTCACTACGAAAGCAAAAGACTTGGCAGACGATGCACCATCCCCCCAATGAAAAGCAGGGGTGTCACTAGCACGTTAAGAGACCATACAATAAGTGTCAGGGGACCGAGACTGTTCAACTGCCTCCCAGCACACATAAGGGGGATTACCAACAGACCCCTGGCAGTCTTCAAGCTGGCACTGGACAAGCACCTAAAGGCAGTTCCTGATCAGCCGGGCTGTGGCTCGTACGTTGGTTTGCGTGCAGCCAGCAGCAACAGCCTGGTTGATCAGGCGCTGATCCACCAGGAGGCCTGGTCACAGACCGGGCCGCGGGGGCGTTGACCCCCGAAACTCTCTCCAGGTAAACTCCAGGTAAACACTACACATACATGTACAAGCATATATATACACACCCCTCTGTGTTTTCTTCTATTTTCTTTCTAGTGCTTGTTCTTGTTTATTTCCTCTTATCTCCATGGGGAAGTGGAACAGAATTCTTACTTCGTAAGCCGTGTGTGTTGTAAGAGGCCACTAAAATGCCGGGAGCAAGGGGCTAGTAACTCCTTCTCATGTACAAATTACTAAATTTAAAAAGAAAAACTTTTGTTTTTCTTTTTGGGCCACCCTGCCTTGGTGGGATACGGCCAGTTTGTTGGGAATAAAAATGTTCCTTAATAATATGCACAGCATTGCTCTGCAAAGACTGCCAGGTCGAGCAGTTAATCTTATCATAATATAGCAGTATATCTTATCAGATAACAAGCAGAATTCACTTTTGACATCTGCAACGCCTTGGCACACTCACTCTAGTTGACCTCACTAAAAGCTCCACCCTCGATGCAGATTCACTCTTTGATTTTTTAACAGAAACTAACCCACTGCACTGACTTTGATATTAATTTTGCATCAGCATTAACCCCAATTTCATTAATCCATACCCTTCTGCATCCTCACACAGTAGAGTTGTATGATGTATAAGGGTTTAACACTAATAATAATCTGTTCCTTAACTTAGGTGTCAAGCTCTCTGGAAGTCTTGTCTATACTATAAATATATTTCAGATACCAGGCCTTGGAATAAAACAAAGAGCTTTTTAAACTGTATCACCTTAGACCTCACTTGTACCTGAAAGATGACCCAAGGACTCATGAATAAGTGATCCATGACATATTGTCATTACCACCATCACCTCTCTCATTTCCTTTGTTCCAGTTGTTCCAGCAAGTATGCATGTGTGTTCTTATGTTTTTTCTGTTTTTCTATAAATGTTGTATAGTTTCAACAAAATGGTGGCTGTCAAAACTGTCATAACTTTTTTGTTTACATGTTTATTCATACAAAGCACTGCTAAATATATGTCTATACCTCTTGGATCATGCCTTGTATTTACAATAATGAACATTCAGATTAAGAAATTTACCAAAAAAATTAGACATAGGTAATGGAACAACAGACAAGGCCCATATGTTCTAATAGTAAAAGTTACATTTACTGTTTAGAAATAAAAGCAACTGCCAAAAATGAGTAAAATAATGGTCATCTGTTTGAGCAAAACATGGTAGAAAATAGAAACACTAAACATGTCTAATGTTACACAAATGAATGCTCACAATTTTAAGAAATAAGCTTGCCAAGTCATTATATATAATAGACAACAAGAAGTACTTCCTTTTTCAGACCATGAAAGACCCATAGAAAGGTGTATTTAGTGAACTTAATTTTAAAATGCAGGTGGACTTCCTAATCAGGAATAAGTGTGAGATCCTAGATAATGGTGTTGACTGTACTCAAGAAAACCACTACATATAACAGCTGACAGAAAAGTTTGGGTATATCTAGGTTAAAGATATGCAATTACAAGGGAAAGGAGAGTTCCGAGATATAAATGCCTAGATTAAGATATACCCACACTTACAAATAAGGTAATTAGAACCAATTAAATTTTTATGGAAGCCAATCTGCAGTTCCAAAAGTGCAAAATGCAACCATTCTTTGCACTACTGCTTCCTACAGGTAAAAAGTGTTCCGTATTACAAACAGCTCCCTGCCTAGCAGGGAGCTGGGCGCTCCCTGCTAGGCAACATTTGTTAGACAAAATACTTGTTAATAAAAGTTAGCACAGCACTTACAGCAGTTTCAATGTTAAGCTTGTGAGAGAGGTAGTACAGGTGGAAGTGGAAGTGGTTTACCGAAGCATACCCAGTCAGAGAATTAAATCCAATTCTAATGTCTCTGTAAAGAAAATACTTTTACAATTAAGAAGCAATATTAAATTTCCCTTAATTATATATAGAATAGTATTTACTAAAGATATACACAATTATAACATCTTTTAGGAGTGAAGAACAACAGGATGTGAGTGTGGGGGGAGGTGCGTGAGGCATGGCGTAGAATGAAAGGGGGTAAAGCAGCTGGAACTGACAAGATTATGACAGAAATGTTAAAAGCAGGGGGGATATAGTGTTGGAGTGGTTGGTGTTTTATTTAATAAATGTATGGAAGAGGGGAAGGTACCTAGGGATTGGCAGAGGGTATGTATAGTTCCTTTATATAAAGGGAAGAGGGACAAGAGAGACTAAAAATTACAGGGGAAAAAGTTCACTGATTTGTAGGTAGTAGGTTGGTAGACAGCAACCGCCCAGGGAGGTACTACCGTCCTGCCAAGCGAGTATAAAATGGAAACCTGTAATTGTTTTACATGATGGTAGGATTGCTGGTGTCTTTTTTCTGTCTCATAAACATGCAAGATTTCAGGTAAGTCTTGCTACTTCTTCTTACACTTAGGTCACACAACACATACATGTATACAAGCATATACATATATACACACCCCTCTGAGTTTTCTTCTATTTTCTTTCTAATTCTTGTTCTTGTTTATTTCCTCTTATCTCCATGGGGAAGTGGAACAGAATTCTTCCTCTGTAAGCCATGAGTGTTGTAGGAGGCGACTAAAATGCCGGGAGCAAAGGCCTAGTAACCCCTTCTCCTGTATAAATTACTAAATTTAAAAAGAGAAATTTCGTTTTTCTTTTTGGGCCACCCTACCTTGGTGGGATACGGCCGGTTTGTTGAAAAAAAAAAAAAAACACACCCCTCTGGGTTATCTTCTATTTTCTTTCTAGTGCTTGTTCTTGTTATTTCCTCTTATCTCCATGGGGAAGTGGAACAGAATTTTTCCTCTGTAAGCCATGTGTGTTGTGAGAGGCGACTAAAATGCCGGGAGCAAGGGGCTAGTAACCCCTTCTCCTGTACAAATTACTAAATTTAGAAAGAGAAACTTTCATTTTTCTTTTTGGGCCACCCTGCCTTGGTGGGATACAGCCAGTTTGTTAAAAAAAAAAAATGTTTACTGAGTATACCAGGAAAAGTGTACGGTAGGGTTATTATTGAAAGAATTAGAGGCAAGACAAAGAGTAAGATTGTGGATGAGCAAGGAGGCTTTAGAGTGGGTAGGGGATGTGTAGATCAAGTGTTTACATTAAAGTGTATATGTGAACAGTACGTATTTAGATAAAGATAAGGAAGTTTTTATTGCATTTATGGATTTAGAAAAGGCACATGATAGAATGGATAGGGGAGCAATATAGCAGATGTTGCAATAGGTAGTAAGTTACTAAATTCTGTAAAGAGTTTTTATGAGGATAGTGAGGCTCAGGTTAGGGTGTGTAGAAGAGAGGGAGATTAGACAGGGATGTGTAATGTCACCATGGTTGCTTAATACGTATACAGTGGACCCCCGGTTAACGATATTTTTTCACTCCAGAAGTATGTTCAGGTGCCAGTACTGACCGAATTTGTTCCCATAAGAAATATTGTGAAGTAGATTAGTCCATTTCAGACCTCCAAACATACACGTACAAACGCACTTAAATAAATACACTTACATAATTGGTCGCATTCGGAGGTAATCGTTATGCGGGGCTCCACTGTATTTATGGATGGGGTTGTAAAAGAAGTAAATGCTAGGGTGTTGGGGAGAGGGGTTGGATTAAATTATGGGGAATCAAATACAAAATGGGAGTTGACACAGTTACTTTTTGCTGATGATACTGTGTTTATGGGTCATTCTAAAGAAAAGTTGCAAAGGTTAGTGGACGAGTTTGGGAGGGTGTGTAAAGGTAGAAAGTTAAAAGTGAACATAGATAAGAATAAGGTGATGAGAGTATCAAATGACTTAGGTAAAGAAAAATTGGATATCACATTGGAGAGAAGGAGTATGGAAGAAGTGAATGTTTTCAGATATTTGGGATTTGATGTGTCAGCGGATGGGTTTATGAAGGATGAGGCTAACCATAGAATTAATGAGGAAAAAAAGATAAGTGGTGCACTGAGAAAAAAAATTATTTACCACATGAAATATACATTTTCCTACACACAAAAAGAAGGATACATGCAGAATATATATATTGTGCATGTACTAGATCACTAAATGAAGAATAAATGACACTTACTTTTATTGAAGATGTAGTGATGAGACACTGTATCCTGGAAGTACCTTTTCCTCCTGAGTAATATAGGTCTTGTTTGGCATTTTCTTCCAGAACATGCCTTATCACACTATGTATGCCAGTACGATTCTTAAATCCCTCAAACCAACCTTTGCTGGCCTTAAATTCACCAATATGAGCACTAGTTCCAGGCATTTTTTCCTGTTCACTTGGGTGTTAGTCGACTGGTGTGGGTCGCATCCTGGGGGACAAGATTAAAAACCCCAATGGAAATAAGTTAGACAGTCCTCGATGACACACTGACTTTCTTGGGTTATCCTGGGTGGCTAACCCTCTGGGGTTAATTGTTTCTCGGTATTCTCGATAAGCCACACCAATAACAGTCTCTCCACATCTTCGAATAGTACAGCCGACCGTTGTGCAGCAGCAGCTGACCGTGGTACAGCAGCAACTGACAGTAAGCACAGCAGCAGCAGCTGACCATGGTGCAGCAGCAGTAGCTGACAGTGGTGCAGCAGCAGTAGCTGACAGTGGTGCAGCAGCAGCTGATGGTGCTACAGCAGAAGCAGACCATGGTGCAGCAGCAGCTGACTGTGGTGCAGCAGCAGCTGACCATGGTGCAGCAGCAGCTGACCATGGTGCAGCAGCAGCTGACCATGGTGCAGCAGCAGCTGATGGTGCACAGCAGCAGCGGGACCATGGTGCAGCAGCAGCTGACATGGTGCACAGCAGCAGCAGACCATGGTGCAGCAGCAGCAGACCATGGTGCAGCAGCAGCAGACCATGGTGCAGCAGCAGCTGACCGTGGTGCAGCAGCAGCTGACCGTGGTGCAGCAGCAGACCGTGTTGCAGCAGCAGACCGTGGTGCAGCAGCAGCTGACGGTGCTACAGCAGCAGCAGACCGTGGTGCAGCAGCAGCAGCAGACCTTGGTGCAGCAGCAGCAGCAGACCTTGGTGCAGCAGCAGCAGCAGACCATGGTGCAGCAGCAACAGCAGACCGTGGTGCAGCAGCAGCAGACCGTGGTGCACCAGCAGCTGACCGTGGTGCAGCAGCAGCAGACCGTGGTGCACCAGCAGCTGACCGTGGTGCAGCAGCAGCTGACCGTGGTGCAGCAGCAGCTGACCGTGGTGCAGCAGCAGCTGACCGTGGTGCAGCAGCAGCTGACCGTGGGTTGCAGCAGCAGCTGACCGTGGTGCAGCAGCAGCTGACCGTGGTGCAGCAGCAGCTGACGTGGTGCAGCAGCAGCAGACCGTGGTGCAGCAGCAGCTGACCGTGGTGCAGCAGCAGCTGACCGTGGTGCAGCAGCAGCTGACCGTGGTGCAGCAGCAGCTGACCGTGGTGCAGCAGCAGCTGACCGTGGTGCAGCAGCAGCTGACGTGGTGCAGCAGCAGCTGACCGTGGTGCAGCAGCAGCTGACCGTGGTGCAGCAGCAGTACCGGGGTGAGCAGCAGCTGACCGTGGTGCAGCAGCAGCTGACCGTGGTGCAGCAGCAGCTGACCGTGGTGCAGCAGCAGCTGACCGTGGTGCAGCAGCAGCTGACCGTGGTGCAGCAGCAGCTGACCGTGGTGCAGCAGCAGCTGACCGTGGTGCAGCAGCAGCTGACCGTGGTGCAGCAGCAGCTGACCGTGGTGCAGCAGCAGCTGACCGTGGTGCAGCAGCAGCTGACCGTGGTGCAGCAGCAGCTGACCGTGGTGCAGCAGCAGCTGACCGTGGTGCAGCAGCAGCTGACCGTGGTACAATAGTATTTCTCACCCTTTTTACCACAGGGTTGGCACTAGAAGCTTTCTTTGGGCCCATGATGGCTTATTTAGCAGTTACAAGCACTAAAAACACTGGAATAATCCAAAATTTATCGAATGTACGCATGCAACCATGTCCGCCCCGGCTTGTACACAATGTCACATTAGCTCAGCTGAGGCGCTCAGGCCAGACAGATGTGTGGACGCGTATGGGACGAATGATGCAAGTCGAGTTTTTCAACGTACAGTAAGACCCCGCTTTACTGCGTTTCGCCTTATGGCGTTCCGCTAATACGGCGATGTCAAATTATGACCAGAGTTTGCTATACGGCAAGCGGTCTTTCAAATATGGCGCCCCCACCCGGTTTGTTTACATTTTCCGTGACCACATCTATTATGTCAGGAAACTTTCCAAAATTTCAAGTGTTTTAAAGTTACTGCATATTTTATATGTACTCTGATAATTATACTTATGTGTACCTGTACCTAAATATACTTACACACTGTGCTGGTGTGCAGGTACACATTAAAATCACTAAGTCTCTCTCTACTCATGATGCCAATACTATGTAATAATAATCACTCTTGGGCACACTAAATGTCTTATTTTACATCAATATAGGCATTTTCATTAATCCATCTATGATATTTTCCTCAAAATTATATATGAAACCCATTACATAGCATATAAACATGACACATACACTCACAGAATAAAAATTGATGTAAATATAAGATTTGTTTACAAAGCAGCTGTGTAGGTAGTGTCGGAAGAATTATGTTTTCTCTAGTCAAACTGGGTGATAACTGTAGAAAAATATTCTTTTCGTATGCCTTTACTCTATATATAGCAATTCACGACCCGTGTGGGTTTAGTGCTTTTTATTATAATAATAATATTATTATTATTATTATTATGAGTCCTGGAGATGGGAAGTACAGTGCCTGCACTCTGAAGGAGGGGTGTTAATGTTGCAGTTTAAAAACTGTAGTGTAATGCACCCTTCTGGCAAGACAGTGATGGAGTGAATGATGGTGAAAGTTTTCCTTTTTCGGGCCACCCTGCCTTGGTGGGAATCGGCCAATGTGTTAATAAAAAAAATATTATTATTATCTTCATTCACTCTAAAAATGGTGTGTTGCTGTTTGTTTATTCTGTACTAACTTGTACAACTTGTACACAATGTAAGAGTATTTGTACTGTGAGGTAATAATTATTATTATAAAAAATACTGAGGTAAAAGTTTTACAAACTCTTACAAATGTATGTCGGGGTCAAATTTTACACTGACAAGCATCATAAGTCGGTTTTAACGTAGGTTGAGGACATCATAAGTTGGGGGTCCACTGTCTAGTGGGACAACACTCTTATATGGGTGTGAAGCTTGAGTTATAAATGCTGCAGTGAGGAGGCAGTGGAGATGTCCTGTCTAAGAGCAATGTGTGGTGTAAATATCATGCAGAGAATTCGAAGTGTGGAAATCAGAAGATGTGGAGTTAATAAAAGTATTAGTCAGAGGGCTGAAGAGGGATTGTTGAGGTGGTTTGGTCATTTAGAGAGAATGGATCAAAGTAGAATGACATGGAGAGCATATAAATCTGTAGGGGAAGGAAGGCGGGGTAGGGGTCGTCCTCGAAAAGGTTGGAGGGAAGGGGTAAAGAAGGTTTTGTGGGTGAGGGACTTGGAATTCCACCAAGTGTGCACGAGCGTATTAGATAGAAGTGAATAGAGACGAATGGTTTTTGGGACCTGATGAGCTGTTGGAGTGAGAGCAAGGTAATATTTAGTGAAGGGATTCAGGGAAACCTGTTATTTTTATGTAGTCGGACTTGAGTTCTGGAAATGGGAAATACAATGCCTGCACTCCAAAGGAGGGGTTTGGGATATTGGCAGTTTGGTGGGATGTGTAATAGGATGGTATATATATAATTGGGGCCCTGATATTATATTCTATATGGTAAATAGTATAGTTTATTATTATTATTATTTCAAATCACTTTTTATATTGTATTTTTATATATGCTTCTAAACTGTTGTATCTGGGTGCCTCTGCAAAATCAGTGATTATGTATGAATGAGGTGAAAGTGTTGAATGATGATGAAAGTATTTTCGTTTTGGGGATTTTCTTTCTTTTTGGGTTACCCTGCCTAGGTGGGAGACAGCCGACTTGTTGAAAAAAAAAATACACACTTATAATAATGTTCAAAAAATGAATGAAGATAAATGCTGGTAAGAAACAACAACAGAATATAAACAAATAAAAATAATATAAATGAAGTGCTGAAAATATACCACAACAGACTTTAGAATTATGGATGCAACTGGAATAATTTCAGAATTAAAATTAAATAAATTGACTGATTTAGCAACAGTCACAGATGTTTAGAGGAAACTACCAAATACTTCGTAAAGTTTTTCTCTGCCATGCAGTACTGAATGTCTGTAGCGTAACCATTTAGAAATTATTTGAAATGCTCAGACATGTTAGTGGCTATTTGTGCTTAACAATATTTTATAACATGCAACAAATAAAAATTTGAATTTGAATTTGGACCCTATAGATGGATGAAATTGGATGAAATCTTTTTTTTAATATTTCTAACACCAGTGGGGTGCATTCAGACAACTGACATGAGGTATAGTATGTAATTTGAATATTACTAAAAATCCACAACATTTTACCCCTGAATGTTAAATATCAAATATAAAAAATAAATCAAACATAATACACGAGTTATGTTCTGAAAATCAATCCTTTATGTAATTTTGTATGTAAATGTGAATAATTAGGGTTAGGTTCTTAGCACCTTCAAAAATGCCGTTTTTCTTTTTTTAATTTCTGACACATTTATATACCCTACTGCTTGGTGATCTAGAAATGACTTATGTTCAGCACCTAAAATCTAAATAAAAGCTTACTCACTAAATAAAGTTACTTAAGTCAGGTTTGGAAAAAAGCTGGTTTGTGGCAATATATTGTCTATTTCTTCCAGATAAAATAGGCATGGCTCTCTTTCCAAAGAAAATGGACATTCCTCATGCAGGAGCAATGACTTATAATTTTTTTTATGCAATTTCAATAGTTTAACATTTTAAAATGAAGACTCAGACATGAAAATATTTCTGATAGAGATTTCCATGGCTTGGGAAAAGCCTGTGTCTGACTCTGGATCAATACTGTATATGCTGTAGTGGCACTATGAACTTCAATAGATGAGTCACCCATCAGCCGATAGGTAAAAAGCAAGTGCTGCAGCCGACTACTGCATTGAAAAGATACAATCTCCAAACACTTCTATATAAACAAATCTGAGGAAAGAATAAAGAATTTAAGATAGGTTAAAATTCTTTCCTGTTAATTTAGGATATTTTCAGTCAAAAACACAGTACTATTTATTGAAAAGAAATATGGAAAGTGTTTCATTAAAAACAAGATATCAAAGCATGCACTATGAACGACTAACTAAAATGCTCTATGTTCCCATTGTATGATACAATCAAAATGAGACCTGATTTGTACCCAAATACACAAATAACCCACACATAGGAGAGAGGAACTTATAAAGATGTTTTAGTTTAACCTGGACCATGAAGTAGTCACACTAGTTAATGGTCGGACTGAAACATCTGTTTCTTTTTCCTATGGGCGGGTTATTTCTGTGTTTGTTACAGTCACGGTATTGTGTCCTTTTATTCTTTTTGTACCCAAATACATTATCTTTGGAATAGATGATCAAAACTTTTCCACCTTTCCCTCAACATTTCTTACTAACTAGTGCATGAACTGGAACACAAATTTCTGCATACAGCCTTCCAATAAATGAAAAAAAATCTGTAAATTACAGATAAAGGAGAAAGAGGGAAGCCACCTGCTACAAGATATGTCACTAACTGCCTCCTCTCACAAAAGCAAAATTTCATGTTGTAGAGTATGTCATAGGGATGAGGGAAGTCATTTGCAGAGATCATAACTACAGTTATTACTCAAAATGACAGGAAATTTTTGAAACTGACCAGGCTAGTTAGCTGGTTTACAGGTAATGTACTTCCACTAGAACAGTCAGATTTGAAGACTGATTTCATTATGGAAAATGTATTGCATATCTGCACTGCTTTATTGCTACTATAGTAAATATCCAAAAACTTCCTAAAAATCCACATCAACTTACTGGCAGATCTATAAAATAAAAAAACTTTTTAGACAAAGTACAGTTGACCCTTGAACAACATGGATTTAAAGTGCACGGGTCCACTTATACACAGAATTTTTCAGTCAACACACTGGAAAATTTTTTAGAGATTTGTGACCGCAAAAAATTAAGAAAAAGTTAGGTATGTCATGAATGAATAAAATATATGTAGATACTAATCTATTTTATCATTTATTAGCATAAAATGTACACAAATCTATTATAAAAGTTAAAACTTATCAAAACTTACACACACAAACAATTACAGATCGTACATGTTCTATTGGCACCTGAGAGAAATTTAAACATATGTAAAGATGCAATATTAAATCATAAATATGAATTTCTTTTTCACATTGTCTTTTCATTTCTGATGTCTAGAATTAGAATTAGTGTTTTGTATCATATAAAACAATAGTGATGTAGTTACTGCTATCTAGACAGATAATTCATCTTTTAAACAGAAAACAAACTTATGGTATCAATACATACAGTACAGTATAGTACAGTACTGTAAATGCATTTTCTCTTCATTATGATTTTTCTTAACATTTTTTTCTCTAGCTTACTTTATTGTAAGAATACAATACATAATACATATAACATACAACATTTGTGTTAATCAACTGTTTATGTTATCAGGAGGGCTTCCAGTCAACAGTAGGCCATTAGTAGTTAAGTTATTTGTGGAGTCAAAAGTTATACCCAGATTTTTGACTGCACGAGGGATTGGTGCCCCTAACATCCACATTGTTCAAGGGGTCAACTGTATATATACCTCTCACCTTATGCATAACAATATATGGTAATTATTAAACATGGTATAGATACTCTTATTTAAAGTTAACAACAGGAACACTAAACAGATATAAAACTGTTTTCTATACCAAAATAAAATGGTTTTACTTTCTACTCACGGTGTCGTAGATAACAAAATTGTATGGAGAGCGATCATGAGTCCTTTCTCATTGAGTACTTGAGGCTGACACTGGTCCAGAAAAGGAACAAGTAAACTATGGTTGCTGCAGATAGGAGCATTATTGATGACCACGCTACCTTCCAAGACTGCTGTTCCTTTTCCTACTGTATCCACTGTCTATCAACAGCATAGGGCAAGTTATAGAAAACTGTCTAAATTTCAGTGTAAATGAACAATTTTAAACATCTCACACAAGATTCCTACACCTAACAAAATAAAAAAAAATCCAAACAGAGGAGTAAAGTTTTAGAATATTTTATGATACTGATAAGAATTCAAGCTTATTTAACAATGATTCTTTTATTTAATATTCCAGGATTGTAAGGTTATCTTAGTCTTACAATGACAAACCATATACAGACTATGTGACAGATTCCTCTATAAATTTAACATTCAACTACTTAAGCTTGCTAAAGTAGTTTTCCTGATTAAAAATAACATTTTACATCATACATGGATCAGAAGAGTTTGAGTTCACTTACAAAGTGAGTACTGTACAAACAATATTTGACTAATATTATCTGAATGTATCAGAGCTCTCTAGCACAGCAGAATATTCTGTTTCAAGAGAGTTTCACATTCTTATGGTGGATTTTTATATATTCCACACAAAAAAAACAGGGCAGTGGAATGTAAAGCTAAAATGTGTAGCAGACATTAACAAAATTAAGTAATGGAGGAAGAAATACGAAAGTAACTCTTATACACAACATTCCTAACATGAATTATAGACCTAGCTTTGTTTCAGATGTCCACCTCTCTCTCAATACACTGTCAAATGTTCTTATCTTCAGAACACTTGTGACCTGACCTGACCTGACCTTACCTTCACTTTCTCTTCACCTTTTCTACTGACTTGTTTTCTATAACCCCTCTGTCTTTCCTGTCTTCTGACTTTCTCCTGTTTTGCCTCCTTTTTTCTTTCTAGCATGGGCCAGTAAGCCTACAGCATGCTCTTCTGCCCTTTGGGGATAGGTGTTAGAATGCTAAATTATTAGAATATTGGAATACATGATAACTGTAAGTTAAATAATGTAGAACTTAGCCATACAGATTGCAAAAAGGACTTGGGGGTTATGGTGAGCAGCAACCTTAACCCAAGACAGCAATGCCTAAGCGTATGTAATAAGGCATATAGATTATTGGGATTTATATCAAGAAGTGTAAGCAACAGAAGTCCAGAGGTTATACTGCAGCTTTATACATCATTAACATGTGGAGTTCCCCAAGGTAGTATTCTGGGTCCCTTATTATTCTTATGTTATGTCAATGATATGCCTATCAGTGTCAAGTGCAAACTCCTACTGTATGCAGATGACAGTGCTCTGTTAGTGACATGTAAAGACCCACAAGATATTGCTAATGTTTTAACACTGGAACTGGAGTCCTGCAGCAAATGGTTAGTAGACAACAAACTATCATTATACCTAGGGAAAACTGAAGCCATTCTCTTTGGCACGAAACATAAACTGAGAAGGGTAATTAATTTTAATGTTCAGTGTAATGGGGAGCCCATCACTTTGGTTTCATCAGTAAAATATCTGGGAATCCCCTTTGACCCATGCATGTCAGGAGAATTGATAGGGAACAGTGTAGTAAAGAAAGCGAATGCCAGACTGAAGTTCTTGTATAGACAAGCACAGTGTCTACCTACTGAGGCTCGCAGGACCCTATGTCTAGTCCTTATACAATGCCATATGGATTACGCTTGCTCTTCATGGTACTCTGCCTTGACAAAAAAACTGAAAGATAGACTGCAAATCACCCAGAACAAAATCGTAAGATTCATCCTGGGGCTGGGACCAAGAGAACATGTAGGCCAGGATGAATTACAGCAGTTGGATATGCTGAATGTTGAAGACAGAGTAAAACAACTGAAGCTAAATCATGTTTATAAAATTGCTCACAAACAGTGTCCAGAATATCTTGCTGTCAATTTTGTCAAGGTTGGGAACCAAAGCAATCATAGTACTAGGGGGAGAGAGCACAACTTTGTAGTACCCACAGTCATTGGCCAGGCGTCAAACACCTTTTATTGTACAGCAATAAAGGAATGGAACAGACTACCCGCACATGTCAAAGCCAGTCATAGCATGAACCAGTTCAAGAAGAGTGCCAAAAGGTGTCTGATGAATGTAGCTACAGAAAGGGAGGGGAATGATTTTCTATTTTTTAGCTAACATACGTGTAAATTTTACCTTATTCCTAGTAATGACCCTAGTATTGTAGATAGTCTTAATGACCCTCGTGTAGTAGATAGTCTTTTTAGTATGATAATAAGATGTTATCTTCATTGTAGAATAATAAGAAAATATTATAACCTTTATATTATAATAATAAGGTAAAAGGACCCCAATGGAAATAAGTCACTCTGTCTGACTTTTTTGGGTTATCCTAGGTTCTCTACACATATGCTGCTATGTATGATAATTCTATGTAACTGTATTTGTGTATACCTGAATAAACTTACTTACTTACTTAACCCTTTGACTGTTTCAGGCCCCTCTCTGAAACTGTCATTTTATGTCGCTCAATTTTTGAAAAAAAAAAAAAAAAATATTTTTTCTTATGAAATGATAGAGAATCTTTTCCTGATGGTAATGACACCAAAAGTTCGAAATTTGGTCGAAAACTCGTGGAATTATGCTCCCGCGAAGTTAGCGGTCTCGGCGACATATGCGTATCGGCGATTTCGCCGACTTTGAGCCCAATTTTCAGCCAATTCCATTGTTCCAGTTGACCAAACTCATAGCTATTTCTTTAGAACTCCATTTTATCTATCAGCTGAGTACAAGAAACCTCCCATTTACTAATTTGGACTACCCAATATGGTGGTCAGAAATTGGCAATTTGGCCAATTTCACGCAAAATAAAAAAAGATGCCAATTTCAAAATAGGGTCCAGAATAAACAAGGTAGACATTCGTGGCACTAAAATAACATATGCTCTGTTCATTAGTCACATCTCTAGGCCCCTCTTATATTATTATTGCTTTCTATTTTGATTTTTTATTCATACAAAAAAATACAAAATTTACTGTTATGCAGACGACTGCATTATTGTAAAAATGGTATAAATAATATTAGTGCACTAGTGAAAGAATATTAGACTCCCCAGTTGACGTGTATTGGACGTGTGGTGTGATTTATTTACTCTTGAACATTGGTAAAAATCGAACATTTCCGCTACTTTGAGCTCAGTTTCAAGGTCGTTTTCATCGTAAAAGTAATGAAAATCATCTCTATTTCTGTAATATGTTTTCCATTTTATCACCTAAGACCATGAAAACGCGAATACAACGATAAATACTATACGAAAATACACCTCAAAGTCGGCGTTTTATTCCAAAAAAACGATCAGTTTTTTTTTCTCATTACGCAATGTGTGCTGCAGGATTTTTTTTATGTGGTGCACACTGACCACACAGACCCATTCTCTCACATGTGGGCCTACCAGCTTTCTCCCACTTGATTTGAAGCGGCTAGAATTATTGAGTATATATACGTCAGAAACATTGGCTCGTAAGACGTATTTATACGTCGAAAACAGTCAAAGGGTTAAGGCCTCACCTAGATTATGCAGCTCAGTTCTGGTCTCCATATTACAGAATGGACATAAATTCGCTAGAAAACATTCAGCGTAGAATGACTAAATTAATAAATGGCATTAGAAATCTCCCTTATGAAGAAAGACTGAAGACTCTTAAATTACATTCACTTGTAAGACGAAGAATGAAGGGAGACATGATCAAAGTGTACAAGTGGAAGATGGGTATTAATAGAGGGGATATTAATAAGGTCTTGAGGATGTCTCTCCAAGAGAGAACCCGCAGTAATGGATTTAAATTAGACAAGTTTAGATTTAGAAAGGACATAGGAAAGTATTGGTTTGGAAATAGGGTAGTTGATGAGTGGAACAGTCTACCTAGTTGGGTTATTGAGGCTAGAACTTTGGGTAGTTTCAAATTTAGGTTGGATAAATATGAGTGAGAGGGGTTGGATCTGAGTGGGACTTGCAAATGAGTGGATCGAGTTATCAGAGCTTATTTCTTGGGTAGCATTGAAAATTGGGTTGGGCAAATGTTTTGTTAGTGGGATGGACTGTAAAGGACCTGCCTAGTATGGGCCAACGCCTGCTGCAGTGATCCTTCTTTCTTATTTTCTTATGTTCTTACATTTCTTTTTTTTTTAACATGTTGGCTGTTTCCCACCAAGGCAGGGTGACCCAAAAGAAAGAAAAATCCAAAAAGAAAAAAAAAAACTTTCATTATCAGTCAACACATTCACCATCACTCATACATAATCACGACAGTTTAGACAGTCACTCCAAACTGCCAATATCCCAAACCCCTCCTTTAAAGTGCAGGCACTGCACTTCCCATTTCCAGGACTCAAGTCCAACTAACCAGTTTCCCTGAATCCCTTCACAAAATATTACCCTGCTCACACTCCAACAGCTCGTCAGATACCGAAAACCATTTGTCTCCATTCACTCCTAACACGCTCATGCATGCTTGCTGGAAATCCATACCCCTCGCCCACAAAACCTCATTTACTCCCTCCCTTCAACCTTTTCGAGGACAATCCCTACCCCGCCTTCCTTCCCCTAAAGATTTATAGGTTCTCCAAGTCATCTACTTTGTTCCATTCTTTCTAAATGACCAAACCACCTCAACAACCCCTCTTCAGCCCTCTGACTAATACTTTTAGTAACTCCACACCTCCTCCTAATTTCCACACTATGAATATAAGAGGTAGCCTGGCTAGACGAGTACTTCTTGTCTGGCTGGTCTACTTTTTTAAGATGTAGTAGGTTGGTAGACAGCAACCACCCAGGGAGGTACTACTGTCCTGCCAAGTGAGTGTAAAACAAAAGCCTGTAATTGTTTTACATGATGGTAAGATTGCTGGTGTCTTCTATCTCATAAATATGCAAGATTACAGATACGTCTTGCTACTTCTACTTACACTTTGGTCACAGTAGACATACATGTACACGTTTATTTATACACACTCATCGGAGTTTTCTTTGATTTTATCTTAATAGTTCTTGTTCTTAGTACTTTTCCTTTTATATACACCTACCATCCGACTTTAAGACCGAGTTCGGTTCCGAGA